TTTTCTTTTTTGAGACAGGGTCTCGCTATGCAGTTCAGACTGGCCTTGAGCTCACTTTGTAGCCTAGGCTGGTCTCAAACCCGCAACAATCCTCCTGCCTCAGCCTCCCGAGTGCTGGGATTACAGGCATGCGCCACCACGCCCGGCAAGAGAACATTTTTTTAAAAATAATTTTATTTTATTTTTTTAAGAGAACATTCTTGATAAGGATATTTAAGTTAAATACATATTGGGTATGGGAGTGCATGCCTGTGATCCCAGCACTCTGGCAGGCTGAAGCAGGAGAAACTCAAGTTGGAGCCCCGACTGGCCAACTTAGCGACTTAGTGAGACCTTGTCTCAAAATAAAGATATAAAAAGGGTCAGAGATGCAGCTCTCTGCAAAGGCCCTGGGTTCCATCCCCAGTACCACAAAAAATGAAAAAGGAAATCTAGACCAATCTTCATCCCACCTGCCCCTTGACTCACCTACCTGTGCTGACCAGGAGCTGCGTCTGGTTCCCCTCTGCCTGCTCCAGTTCAGGAATCTCCACGGTCGCCCGGCACACATAGGCCCCACTGTCATTGAGGGTCAGCTGGTCCAGCTGCAGCCTCATGTCCCCAGGGGCAGGCCACAACAGCTGTCCCCGGGGGCCACACCCACTGGGGCTGTGGGTGCCATTGGTAAGGAGCAGTTGACACATGACAGCGCTGTCCTTGGCCCACTGCACTCGGAGGCGCTCCCATGCCCCTGCCTGAGTCACCCGGCAGCCCAGGGTGGCCTGACTGCCCTGTGTCACCCTCAGGAACACGGGCCACTGCTGCACGATCAGGCTTGTGGCTTCTTGCAGGGCTGGGGGACAGATGAGGCTGGTGAGCTCTTTCTAGGGAGTGTGTGAGGTTCAGCTCCTCTCTGAGCCTGCGGGCTGGGCTTGGCACCCACTCTCCCTGTGTCCCTGGGGGGGTCGGTTCTGCTTTAGGACTCAGTGGTTCAGTCTGTGGAATGGGCTCAACTCACTCAATTGTGAGCATTCAAGCAGGACTCCAGGACGTGTCCAGCACTCAGCTGTACAAATATCTCGAAGCTGTGCCTGGCCCAAGGCTGAGTGTGGGGGACACAGCGGTGATCAAGAGGAACCAAAATGAAAAGCGTGGTGGTGCACACCCATCATCCCAGCACTCCGGAGGCTGGGGCAGGGTTAGGGCTGGGGGTCCTCTGGCCATGGATCTGAACTGCCTGGTGGACCCCGCGGCAGCTGGGGAGACCAGGGACAGAAAGAGGCCGGGCAGCCAGACAGCCTGGGTGTGCTGGGGCTTGACATGCTGGTGGTAGGAGAGGGAGAAAGAAAAAACAGCTGAGCAGGGCCTGGCACACGCCATCATCCCAGCACTCCAGGAGGCTGAGGCAGGAGGGCTGTAAGTTTGAGTCAAGCCTGGACAACGGAGTGACTTAGCAAGGCCCTGCCTCAAGCGTTAAAAACAGTTTGTTAAAAAAAAAAATGTTAAAAAGGAGGCTGGGGATGTAGGTTAATGTGAAGGTCCTAGGTTCCATCAATCCCAAATCAGAGAGACAGAGGGAGAGGGAGCCGGAGAAGGAATAAGAGGGGGAAGGGGAGGGAGGGGGAGGGAGAAAAATAAAAGCCACCAGAGGGAGGGGCTGCCTAGAGGTGGGTGGGGCCAGAGGCCAGAGGGGCCAGGTCACCTATACCTGCCATGTAGGTCAATTTTTTTATTCTTGAGGACCCCTTTGAAGCCCCCAAGCCCACAAGGCTCTGAATGTCAGGGAGTCAGGCCTTGTTTAAAAAGAAAGCACATGCTTGGGTGTGGAGGCCCATGCCTATCATCCCAGCACTCAGGAGGCTGAGGCAGGAGGACTGCCAAAAGTTCAAGGCCAGCCTAGGCTACATAGCAAAACCTTGTCTCAAAAAAAAAAAAAAAAAAAAGAGAGAGAGGAAAAAAAAAGCACAAAGGGGAGGGGTTCCATGGGGGGATGGACAGTGAGAAGGGGTACAGAGGGAGGGACCCTGGTACTCACCACACAGCAGGACCAGGAGCATCCGTGCCCAGCTCAGGGACCCCATCCCCGGCTCATCACCTCAACTAGGACACCCAGTTTGCACCCCCAACTGCCAGACAGACTTCCTGCCACTGTATCCGCCCACCCCACTGCAGCAGAGGCAGAGTGACAAGGGGGGACAGCAGACATCTGGTGTGGGACAATGTTTAGGGTCCACTTTCTGCTACCACAGGCCTCAGTTTCTCCAAAGTGCCTTAT